AAGAGAGAGATCTTTTGATTTGATAGTGTGGTAGATGATACTAATTCTTTCAAGTTCTGCCTTTATTCCGTGATAAATGGATGACTGCAAAGTTCTGGGCTTTATGAAGAACTGGGAACTAAGTTAGTTCCTAAAAAAGAAAGGGTAAGACTCTGGCCAGTAGAGGCTGCCAGCCGTGACCTTAACAACATTTTAGTTTAAAAACTAGAAAAGGGAGACAAGCCCTTCCCTCTCAACCTAACCCTTTACTGTTAGCAGAAAAGCCTGGTGGGTTCTTTCCTCAACTTAGTATAGAAATAAAAAGCCGGGAATCTGTTGCAGACAGAAAAGTTTATTTGCAAAGGGACCAGGTGAGCAGGGAAGGGAGGAGGAAGGGAAAGCACCTCCCGAGAGAAAGCCGGGCAGTGGGCTGCCTCCGAGGGAGAGAGACACCAAAGGTTTGAGGAAGGGTCTTGGGATTTTAAGCATTCCCTGACCCCTCCTTGCTGGGCGGGAACCTACAGGTAAGATGTTCCCCATTGGTGGACGCTTAATCAGTTAGTAAGTGAGTGGGCAATGCTGGTGCCGCCCACCTGAAGGTGTGGCCAAAGACCTCAGCAGGCCTGGATGGTCTCACTACTACAGAATCATTAACTACAAATGCTTGAGAGAGCATTTCACAGGCTCGATGTTCTGTTATGGGCTTCAGTGATCATCACAGATGATGGTCCACAGGAAACTGAGATATAGCATCTCTTTATTTAACACTAGGGTGCAAGGAATAAGAGACACCTGTAGTGAAAAATTTAAAGTAGCAGCACCCTCCATTCCAGGTCAGAGTTTTTAACTCACTGAACAATGTAACCTACGGGGTGGGATTTTAGCTTGGTGATGAAGTTGCTGGTTAAGTGCATGTCCCTTTGTGGAGTGTCTGGATTCAAGGTCTGACTCTGGGTTCCTGCTAACACAGAGCCTAAAAGGCAGTGATGACAGCTCAAGTAGGGTCTTGCCACTGCAGGACATACCTGGCATGTGCTGCTTGTGGCTCCTGAGCTTCCCCAACCCAGTCCTCTTTACTGGCTTTTGGGAATTGAGCAAGCGAGAGCTCCCTAATCTGTCCACCTGCCTGTCCAGTGCAGCACAGTTCTTCAAGAATAGAGTTCTTTTCCTTCTTACATATTTTTCCCTGAAGGTATATAAATAAGCTCCCTTGTCTCAAAGTTGTTAGGAGTCCCAAAAGTTAGGAAAAACAAGTTACAGCGTTCTGACGACTGTGGGGCCTTGAGCATGAGTTGTATTCCTTACGCTGTCATTAGAGAACATGGGGACAATTAGTATTGCAAGTACATGGTAGCGATTGGCATAGAAATAAAGCACACCATGGAATTAAGCATTGCATAAGTGCCAAGTGATTAAATGACCTATTTCACATTTAAATTGATACTGTCTGCATTTTTAGTAAGGGATGGCTAACACCATTTCCTCCAAGTTACCACAAATTTCTTTTTTTTCCCATTAAATGCAAAGTTGATTTGAATTTGATAAAAGTGTTTTAAGTCTTCTGAGTATGATAGTAAATTTAATTAAGACCTGGCCTGAAGAATCCCTGAGCAGACAGAGCCAGTTAGGCTTCTTACATAATCCTAACCTTGCTTGATTTGCAGACATACACAAAGTTGGAGAGGATTAATTGTGAGTTCATCAATTAAAAAAAATGAAACACAGGGCAAGCAATTAGGCACTGCCTGCTAACTCATACACCTGGGGACTTTCCCGCACGGCTGACGGTGTAAGGCTACTGGGTAAGTGTACAGTCCTTTTCTTAGCTCTGCTTCTGTGTTTTACCCGATACTTTGAAGAGCCATTGAACTGCTTTTGGTTGATGCTACCTAATTCTTGAGTCATTGTTTGCTTAAATAAACATTCTAAAATCTTGCTGCGTCTCATTTTTCCTTTTAAAAGGAGGAATGTGGAAACAATGGTCTTACCCACTTTCTTGTAGCTCTTGACCCTCTGTGTCCTAATCAACTATGTAAAGATCATCAGAATAAAATAATAATAATAAAAATAAAAGAGAAAAAAAGGTTTCCAACAGCAATTTTACTTAGTTTTTTTCTAGTCATTTTTACCTGTTTTTTTATGATTATGTTTATATAAGTTAAGAAGGTGCATGCCCATGTGGACCACTGATTAGGGTCCTTTCACCTTTAATTCCTATGTTGGTTTAGGCCAGGATTTCCCTTTTTCAGCCTTTTTTTCTTGCTTTTTTCTGGGCCAGAGGATTCTCTATTGTGAGAGGCCCTGCTTTACCCCAAAGGGTGTTTGGCAGCGTTCCTGGACTTCATCTCTCAGATACAGCGGCATGCTCCCATGCCTGATAGTGACTGCCAAAAATGTCTCCATTATCACCAAATGTCTTCAATTTTCAGTTAAATAACACTCAGCTTTTTCGTGTATGGATGTCCCTGAAATAGTTCAGAAATGTACTTGAAATCTGAATTTAATTGAATGTCTTGAGTTTTTGTTAGCTAAATCTGGAGGTGTTCCTGGGGCCGAGATCAACTCTGAGGAGACCCATTGGCCTAACACTGTCTTGCCAATTGTAATGTGTCAATTGTCTTTAGTATTGGTTTAACAGTCAACTCTACAATCCACTTTTTACAGTTATAATAAGTACTGTGTTTCTATTACCTGGTGCCACCAGGAAAGAAATGCAGAGTCCAATTAAAGAATTTAGCCCGGTTATGGGGAAAGAAGTTGCAGGAAGTTGACAGCATCCTTGGCTAACTGGCAGTGAAATGAAGGGCTGTATCCCTACAAATAAGTAAAAGCAGTTTACAAAAAGAGGCTGGAGTGGTTTACTAAAGATTTGCCTAGGTACCTAAGGTACTTGTTTTTCTAAGACACTAGGAAGGCAATCAAATCCTTCAGATGCAAAGGTCATGCAAAATCAAACCTAGTGGAAGAGCACGTGAGCTGCTGCAATCTGGTTGGGTATTACAGACTTCCCTTTCCTCCAACAGAGTTGGCTAGTGCTTGAACTCTTGAGCTCAGTGCTAAGTTCTTGCTAGAGTATGCCATCCTGGGTTGGAAAGCACAGTATGTCCATCAGTGAAGCAGGAGGAATTTCTCTCTATGCACAGGCATCAGATCCTAGTCTGTAACCTTTGATCACTAAAGAATCTTAATTTATTGGGACCATATCAGTTTGCTTGGATTGTTTGTTTCATGGGTGGACATGTGTATATGAATGAAGAGGGGAATAGATTAATTGTGGGAAAGTTTTAAACTTATTAGGTTTAGATACAATGTGGAAGTGGTATCATATAAAGTCTACAAAATGTTTATATTGTTTAAAAGATTTGGTGTATTAGCATGATTAACCAAATCTATTGTTGATTCAATTTAAACACTAGAATGACTCCTTTTAGACAGTGAATGATTGGTTTTAGACAGTGCATGATTTTTAGTGCAATGGAATGATTGATTTTAGATATTTTTAAAAGATTTTTAAATTTTTATTGGAAAGGCTGATATACAGAGAGAAGGAGATACAGAGAGGAAGATCCAAGTGGCTGCAGTAGCTGGAGCTGAGCTGAGCTTCCTCCAGATCTCCCACACAGGCACAGGGTCCCAAGGCTTTGGGCTATTATCGATTGCTTTTCCAGGCCACAGGCATGGAGCTGGATGGGAAATGGAGCAGCCAGGATTAGGACCAGTGCCCATATGAGATCCCAGCATGTGCAAGGCAAGGACTTAGTCACTAAGCTACTGCATCGGGCCCAGACATTTCTCTTGAAGATTTATATTTATTTGAAAGGCAGATTTTCTAAAGAGTAGAGATAGATTGAAGGTCTTCCATCTGCTAATTCACTCTCCAGATGGCCACAATGGCCAGAGCTGCGATGATCCCAAGCTGGGAGCCAGGCCTCTTCCAGACAGATCTCAAGGACTTGGGCCATCCTCCACTGCTTTCCCAGTCTCTTAGCAGGGAGCTAGATTGGAAGTGGAGCAGCCGGAACACAAACTGATGCTCACATTGGAAGCTCAGTGCCACAGGAAAGAAGGATTAACTTGCTGTGTGACTGCACCACCCAGACGCATTTTTATATATACTCACAAAGGGAGAGTGAGAAAGAAAGCAAGAGAGGAGAGAAGAGGAGAAAAGTTCCTGGTTACTCCATCAAGTACCTACAAAAGCCAGGACTTGGGCCAGGCCAATTTCTTACATGAGTGACAGGACCAATCACTCAGGGCGTCATCCTCTTATTCCTGGGAGTATTCGTAGGAATAGGAATCAGAAATGGGGAACCAGGACTTGAACCAGCATTCCAACAGGGGATGCTGACATTGAAAGTGGCAACTTGATCTTATGCACCATGACACTTGCTCCAAGACTTACAGTTTTGAAATGCAAGGATACAGAATACTTTGGCTTAATTTATACACCATATTGTAATATTTGAAACATCTTCAGGTTTATTATATTTGTAGCTAGAGAGTAAAATCTTGGTCATTAGGAATCAGGAAGAGCAAGGAGGAGGGGTTAAGAGGGTATTTGTGTAATGGTTAGCAGAATTCTCATGCTTTGTGACCCAGTGGGGTGAATACAGTTTACAGCAATTTATGATACATTTTGTAAAGGAATAGAAGACAGAAGTCTCACTTCACAACACGAAATTGTCATTTTTAGTGGCTTGGAAAAAATAACTATTCTGATGCTTTCACCTCACACTTTCTACGTGTGTGTTTTGAATTAACATATTGTATCCCATGAACAGATGTAGTTATTATGTGCTGATTAAAACTTTAAAATATTTTATTTCCTTGGTTTACAGGGATTTTTGTAAATGGCAGGGAAAGTATTACTTGTTGGGCTGAGAATTTTGAAAACTCTTTGCCAGACATATATAGGCTCTAGTCTTTCTCAATGGCACAGAAAACTGTATTTCAATTAGGAAATATCGTGAGAATAGTATCCTATTTTGAACCGGAGTCCTTCTCCCTTCCCCCAATATTAGTTCCCTGTTTTGTGCATGCTGCCACCGGCAGGGTAAACATGAGTCAGAAACCGGCTCCTTGGGGCTGTAACATTAGATGATACACCTCTTGGGTCATTACCCAGTAAACCAATGCCCTTCTTTGGGCTGGGCCCTCTGAAAGGTGTTGCTGCTGCCTGTGTAGCTGAAAGAGCGCTCACAAGGAACGAGACGGTTTGGGCTGTCGGGACCTTTCTCAACCAGGAAGGAATTTGACATTCATTAGAAATAAACTCTGGAAGATTCTAGAAGCTCTGGAAGTCAAGTCAGCCTGTGAAGGACCAGCATGGGAATCCTGTACTCTGAGGTATGGCCCCTGTCTGGGAGGAGGAGTCCCAAGGTGTTACAGCTGTTCAGACTTTTCAAAAGCAATTTCCTCTACTTGTGTCCTTTTCCTCTGCTTAACTTTCTGTGTTAGAGATAAGTTATTTAAAAAAAAAAAGGAGCAGCAGCAGCAGAGACTTGAATGTTAATCTTTTCGATGGGGAAAGAGAAAATTGTCACTAACTAGATTTTCTATTCATCTCAAAGACCGACAGTTTCTTCTGTGGGACCATGTGAACAGAGTAACCAGCCTTCTGGTGATGGTTAAAAAGGAAAATGACCTCTAGCAATGGCCAAGCTATCACCGTAGAGGAATGGGCTAAAACAATATGTTTGCAGTATGTTGAGTTTTTTTCACTTTTGATGTATTCAAAAATAGTTGAAATAACTTCTTGGAATCAAGCAGATTTTTAGTAGTTTTCAAAAGCATAAGAGAGTAACATCTAGCCTAAGTAAGTGCAAGAGGCGTAGCTGCCTCATTACTCATTACTTACTCTGCCGCCTCTGTGGTATAAGAACTCGTTAGTCTGCATTCCACCGCAGCTGTCCAAGGGCACCTCCATGGGTAGTTCTGAATTTCCAGTATTAAAGGCAATGTATTCCCAGTTATTTCCATTGGAAATGCACTGCTTGGCTTATCATTTTTAAGGTCTTGCTCAGTGCCTTTGGTATCAGGAAGAGATCCTGTTATGAAAATGACAGAAACGTGTAATGTTGTAAACTGCTGTTCCTGTAATTCTTACAGTTGAGATTGCTCAAGTGTCAGGGAGAAGAACTTATGTAAAATGCAGCTTCAAGAATCTTTAACTGGAGAGTCTGTGTCACTTGTCTTATGTAGGATCCAGAAACACTATACTAGCCTGGTGCTTTCAAGTTGTAGTGTGCACGTGGATTGCCTGAAGACCTTGTCAATTACAGACTGTGTTTTTGTGGGTGTAAGACAGAAGATAATGTATTTGAGTTCCCTGATGCTTTTACTGGTGGCCTATGGATTCCATGGTGAGTAGCCAGAAAGCCTTGGAAACAGCTTCATTGTATGGCAGTCTCAGGGTGGGTGTTTGGCTCAGCCATTGAACTGCTATGCAGGATGCGCACTGCCCATCCTGGAGTACCTGGGTATGAGACCTGCTGCTCTCTCTCATCTGTCTTCCTACTAATGCACACCCTGAGCGGCAGCAGATGGATCTAGTCCAGCTCAAGTCCACGGATCTTAGTCACCTGTGTGAGACATCAAGATGGAGTTCTGGGTTCCTGGCTTTGCCCTGGCCCAATTCTCGGTGTTAGGGGAAATTGGGGGTGGTGGTGGCAGTGAATCAGTGTATAGGAGATTCTCTGTCTCTCTCTGTCTGTGCCATCAGATAAATAAAATGATTTCTTATAAAGAAAAGTTTGGTAAAAGCAGTGCAGTTATGTATTGGTTGGTTGTTGCTTCATCAAATGATAAAGTTGAGCCAAGGGAAAGCAAGGCAATTGAAAGAATGTTGAATTCCTTCCAAGTATCAGTGAAAATATTTACACAAGTTTAAGGTGTGTTTAACTTTTTAGATGTATTAATAACTGAGTAACTTGGGATTTTTAAAATTAAATTCAAAAATGCAGCAACCACATACACACACATATACTCACACTTCTCTTAAAATGCTCTAACTTACCTGGAAGCTCATAGGTAATTATTTAACGCATGTAATTAGTAGTGGATCAAGGATAGTGGAAGATAATTGTTGAAATATATGGCATTGCCACAAAACCCAGTATCACAGGTGGGATCAGTCTTAGCTATACAATTTCATTCTGCTCAGCTTGTCCATTTACTGTACTACTAACCATATTCATGTGAAACACCTGGAAAGTCTTGGTCATTTCCAGCCATTTCTCCTGGGGCAAATGATTTCTTAACTGCAGAATTGTCAAATTTTTAATACTCACATTGTCAAATTTTTTATACCTAGACTGACATTGTTCATTGAGATAGGGATGTAAAGTGCTAGAGAGATGAGTTCTTTTCGATTAAAAGAATTTTTTTTTCTGTTTTTCTGTTGCATGTGGGAGTTATGTGTAAATTGGAAAAAAAGTATATAGTCTCAGCCCCAGGTTCAAATGCAGAAAGTAGGAACCCTTGCATCTATACTTTTAAAGTGATTGAAAGCTCTGGAATTATCTCTTAAATACTTGAACAGGGCTTACTCAGATATTGCAGGCCAGTCTCTTAGTGTTTCCTGCATGTAAGGACTGTGAGCCACTGGCCAACGAGGGGAAAGAAGCCTGCACCATCCCCGGTTCTGTGCTGCCTTGGAGAACTTGTTTGCCATAAATCTTAGTGAAATTCTGATTTCCACTTCTTGGAAATCTCATCTAGACCGGACTCTTAGTCTTATTTTTCCTTAGACCCTTGCATTGTTGACCATTATACAATCTCTGTCTCTCTAAATAAATACATATATTTATTTCAAAAAGAACCAGCTTTGGAGACAGTAGTTCTAGGTATAGTCCAGCTATAACAAACTGGAGTTTTAAACAAGACTGATTCATCTAAACTGTTGTTAGGCACATTTGTTCTTGTTTGTCCTTTCCCAGATGTTCACAGGAGCTGAAATCAGGGCACGATCTTGTTCCCTCTCGAAGGTGGCAGAGCTCAGGATTTGAGCGATCTCTGCTCTTCCCCAGGGTGTTTGTTATTAGGTACTCATATTGGAAGTGGAGCCAGGACTGAAACCGTAGTCTCCATTATGGGATGCAGGTATTCCAAGCAATTGCTTGCTCCTCAAATGGAGCATTTCGTAAAAATAATATAATAATTTAAACTTTTGGAAGATTAATGGGAAGAGTCTAGTTGTGAGAAGGACACACAAGACAAATACATTGAATCACACAACCTTGATCCTTTGGTAATGGATCCATTATCAGGTAACAGATTTAACACAGAGAAAAGGGCACGTGTCTCTGAGATGACTATTAAGAAGCACACAATATCCAGGGACAGCAATCAGGGTGAGCAGAGCTTCCTCGGAAAGCTGGGGCATCAGGGGAGGAAGGCAAGAACTGAGATGTTACTAAAAGGGAAGCATTACACCAAGGGGGAGGAAAGCCTAAAGTTTAGTTCTGATTGTTCCAGGAGCTCTGTAGGACTTTTCAGGACGTCGTTTAAGTTCTTGAGTCAGCTTGAAACTATTAAATAAGAGAGCTTATGTGGATCTGGTACAGCACTTAACATTATGCCATTCTGTGATAGTGAAACACAAAAGGCAAGGAGATTGAGAAAAAGGCCTCCCATAAAATCTTACCAGTTCAGTCTTCCTTGTTCATATATTTAACTCCTGCAAACATTTGACGTTCTACATGTAAAGAGTACCCAAGAGTCTCTGTTCCAGTTGATTTGCTAATTTGTTCTTGTGTACTATAGATAATTTTAGGAGGAAATGACTATTATATGAAAAGAAATCAGGACTGAAAATTGATATACACTTGTTCATTCCTTCACCCACCCATTTCTTTGCTCAGCAATATTTATTGAGCAAATACCATAGAGCAGGCATGTGCTAGTTCCTGATATATAATGTTAAATAACAGAGTGTTCCCTGGCCTCTAGGAGTTAATAATGTAAGCATATACATATAGATGTATATAGTAATTATACATGTAGTATACAGTATATATATAAATATAGACTGTATATATGCATGTATGTATAGAATTTAAATAGTAACTATCAACAGTGAAAGAATCAAGGCAGCATCATGAAAATGGGGCACATGTAAGAGGGATGAGGAGGAGTGTTTCTGTTTCACTAGATTTGACCTGGAAGGCTCCTGATGAGTAGTGACATTTGATCTGAGTCTGGTGAACTGAGTCTAGTCTTGGGAATCTTGGGGAAACAGTGTCCCAGACAGAGAGAATGTGTGTGTGTGTGTGTGTGTGTGTGTGTGTGTGTGTGTGTGTGTGTGTGTGTGTGTGGAAAGTAACACAAGTGAAGCTGGGCTTGAATAATTTAGGGAGTGGTGTATGAAGTTTGTCTGGGGTAAGATCAGTTTATCTAGGTGCAGAAAATAAGAGGCAGTATGGTCTCTGTGGAATTAAAAGACTAGTAAATCTTACTAAAATTTGTTGATACCCAGGGTTCTGCCTTACACTAGCCATTACGTGCGGTGTTAATTAGATGAGGAGACAGAGTGGACAGATGAATGGATAACATTTCAAGCTCCACTGGACATGTTATGTTAGAGAAATACATGAGACTACTGGGCAGTGATGGAAGTGCGATAGGGAAAGCTAGCTCCAAGGAGAGGTAAGAAGTAATAATTAGGAGGTATCTGCATATAGATGGTAATTAAACCATGGGAAATTATGAGTTCAGAAAGGCAGAAAATGAAGATCTAGAGGATACATGGTCATCACGGGAAGGTGTGGTTTTCCAAGAGAAATATGCGAATATTATAGGACAGTTGGAAGTCCTTCCTTGTTCTAGAAATGGAAACTTCTATCTATGAAGTTAGCTGATCAGCGCTGAGTGCATTCAGAGAGAAGAAATATGAATTTCCCTGGTTCTTTGCAATGATAGAGTGGACAAAATAGTTTGTTCCCTAGAAATTAGGCTTTTCTAAGAGAGGTATTACAATGGTAGTTAAGAAGCCAGCCTTTGGAGTAGGGCAGACAGGGCTTCAACTTTGTTTCTTTCTTTCTTGGAAAGTCAGATATATAGAGAGGACAAGACACAGAGAGGAAGACCTGTCCACTGGTTTACTCCCCAAGTGGTCGCAACAGCCGGAGCTGAGTTGATCTTCTTCCAGGTCTTCCACATGGGTGCAGGGTCAAGGCTTTGGGTTTTCCCAGGCCACAAGCAGGGAGCTAGATGGAAAGCAGGGCTGCCGGGATTAGAACTGGCACCTACATAGGATCCAGGCATGTGCAAGATGAGGACTTTAGCCACCAGGCTATCGCACCAGGCCCCAAATTTCATCTTCACTAACATCAGGGAGAAAGAGTAAG